ATATATATATATATATAGACACACACACACACATATAGAGAGAGAGAGATGAGTTCAATTATTCTAACTAAGTATTGTGTAGATGTAGGAATGATTGTGGAACAATCAAAATTTAAAAAAAAATATAAATAAGGGTTATTATATAATTTGATAAATAACTTCCATAAATACTTCCTATAATCATGCAAGTTACATTGAATTTTAACCTAATTTATCTCTTTTTTATTTACAGCCGTTCTTAATCCCTCGCCATTTTCAAAAACCCTAGAATCGGCAGACACACCTCCATATCCATCATCATCATCATCATCATCATCATAATCTCTCACCATTGTCGCTTCTTCCTCTTCCATATCAATTGTTGGCTCCATCGTTAGTGATTGTATTTAGCTTCCCCATTCAATAATAGCAGGTCGGCGCAGTAACCCTAGCCAACCCTTCCGTCATCCTCTCCCTCCTTTGGCCTGATCCAGACACTAAAAGACTTCATAAACAACTCACCATCTCCGACGTCGCCCCTCTCTCGGCAAAAATTGACATTTTCGTTGAAGACCGAGCGTCTCTCCTATCACTTGATGTAGCAACAAAATAAATGATCGAAATGTTGTCTATGATGGTTGGCAAGAATTTGTATAATTTTATGAAATCGTTTTGTAGAGTTGACTCTTCTGTGGCTATTTATTTCGTAATTAAATCCATCCACGACCATCAATTATATTCCTTTTCTTGATTCTTTCCATAAATTTACATCCACATGTTTTATTAATTCTCTATATGAACTAGACCTAGCAATTTGATACACGACACGATTAAGACGACACGAACATGATACGAGTTTTCCGTGTATGTGTTTTAAAATTTCGTGTTTCGTGTTTATTCGTGTCTGACACGTATTTTAAATTCATGTTTCGTGTCTTACACGTGTCAAACACAAATTTACCTGTTTAGACACGTATAACACACGATATAAATTCATATTGACATGCGATACGTACAAACACGTATATATACATATATAATTTAGGGTTAAAATTTATATTTATAATATATTAGGGACCAATTTCGTAAAAGTCAATAATTAGTTTATTGCCCTAGCTTAAAAAAACCATTAAAAAAATGTCTATTCGTGTTTTCGTGTAACACGGCTAAAAAACGTATCTATGCATGTCATGTCACGTGTCACAATCTTTTACGTGTCGTGTTCGTGTTTGATACCCCAAAAACGTTTTATAATTTGTGTTGTGTTTGTGTTTAACAAATTCTTGTCATTTAAATTTGTGTCTGACATGAATACACGACACACAGACACGGATTGTCATGTCTAAATTATGAACTGTAACGACCTGTTATTTCAAACCAATGTAATAGTCTAGATCAACTAGTAATTCGTTTGAAAG